AGTTTGTGCGATTATAGTTACATTAAGGGGCAAAAAAAGAAAAAAAAGAGCTGCGCCCTTTAATGAGGTGGTTTGTTGATTTAGAAAGGCAAAGTTTTTTTTTTAATTTATCCTATAAATAATGCACTAATTATGGAATTGTGTTTATTATAATGCATGCATCGTTGGCAATGGTTGAATATGTGAATAATTTTTGCTTAGCCATTATGTATCATTGACTGAAACCGACTATTAGACATAATTGCATGATTAATTGTTAACCCTATTAATGTCCCACTATTGAGCTTAATTAGTAAAAAAATAAAATTATTTTGTTTATAAATAGTGGCTAGTGACTCAAAACCCAGAATTCAAGTCAAAAGCCTCATAAAACAAATTAGCTAATTACAAAGTCAAACTAAAGGAATTATAGATTAAACAAAAAAATATTTAAAATTATATATAATGTATAGTTGATTAAAAATAATTTAAATTCAAAATTTAAATAAAAAATATGAAATGACATATCTTCTATATCTATACTAAATAAAAATCATTCTTTGGCAAGTTGCTGTCTGTTGCTCTCTCCTCCAATATCCACATTCATATATAGACCACTTTAATTTTTTCAACTTTTAGAAACGTTGCAAATTTGAATTTTTATTTGATAAGTGAGAAAATATTTAAGCATTCATTACAAAATATTTCACTTTTCATATTTGAATTTTGAAATTTGAACTTGATGTGTGGAAAAATAGGTCATCATTTATTACAAATATAAAATTACACTACTTTCTACCTTTGAAATTGAGTCTATTAATTTCGCTACATTCAAGAAAAACTATAATAACAATGAAATCACTCTAAAATGTTTCCTATTTAATAAGTTTCAAATTTCATTTAATTTTGATTGAGCCATGCGTTGCAAATTTAATAAAAATATAATTATAGTATTATACCATTGTGAGAAATAGTGTATTTAGAGCTTAAATATCTTACCTCGAAAGCGTAGTCTAACTTTGTACTTTGTCTATACTTTCAAATAAAGTATATTATTTTACAAAGCAAAAAATAAAATATTTTCATATAAGGGTGGCCATTCATATTAAATTTGGAACATGTGTATATTTAAGCTAACATGTTACGTGTATATTTAACCCGAATAAAGTATATTATTTTACTGTGTAATATAACTAATATAACTCCTTTCAAGTTATGTGTAAATAATAATATATTATTATAATAAATTAATCTCAATTTTCATTAAAAACTTTAAGTGGATTCAAGACGAGAATTCACCAGAAATTAGGAGTACAAGGCATTTTACTTAAATGTACACGAATTAAATAGGGTTAATTCTTATACATGTTATGATTAATAATTCATAAAAAAAAAACCCAATAGTTATACATGAAGTTCAATCGACGGAAGGCAAAGAAAACATTTGGTTCGTTTTGCTGAAAAAGAAAACAGTCATGTCTACAATTGATGCCTCTCATGTTCGATATAATCAACGGAGTTAAAATTTAACAAAAGTCTGTATTAAATTTCAAAATAATCATGTTCGATATAATCATGTTCGATATAAATCCCACTTCTTTTTTAAATTTCGAAATTTGAAGTTGAAATAGGTGAAAAAAGAATTTAACATCTTTTAGTAGGAGACAACTATATTAAATTTTCACTATTTTTTACATAGGAATTGTTAACCCTCATTTTAAAAAATATTGAATACTTTTTTACCATATTTATCTAAAAAGAAAAAGACCCAAAGAAAATAGTTCAACATTAATTAGTGGCAGACATGTGCATTAGTATCCCACTTCTTTTTTAAATTTTGAAAAATTTTACTATTTTCTAAACGGGAATTGTTAACTCTCATTTTAAAAAATATTTAATGCTTTTTCCATATTTATCGAAAAATCAAAAGACCCAGAGAAAATAGTTAAGCATTAATTAGTGGCTGACATATGCATTAATATCCCACTTCTTTTATCAATTTAAAATTTGAAGTTGATATAGGTGGGAAAAGAATTTAACATCTTTTAGTGGGAGACAACTGTATTAAATTTCTACTATTTTCTACATTGAAATTGTTAATCCTCATTTTAAAAATCATTTAATGTTTTTTTTCATATTTATCGAAAAGCCAAAAGACCGAAAGAAAAGAGTTCAGCATTAATTACGCTTTTATACGAGATATAGAATTTAAAATCACATATGAATGAAAAACATTTTATTTTAATTCAAAATTTAAAATATTTAAACTAAATAGTTAGTGCGAGAAGAGTTTAGCATTAATTAGTGGCAAGCAAGTGTATTAATATCCTACTTTTTTTTTTAAATTCAAATTTCATTTGAATTTGAATTTTGAATTTTAAACTTTGTAGTGGTGGGAAAATATTTGGACAATTATTGGTGGCAGACAGCTCATTTATTATCTCATTACTTTCAACATGGATAATTGTTAACCATATCAATGCTGCATAAAAAAATTTATTTTGTTAAAAAATAATTATTAGAAAAACGAAAATGTTTTTAATAAAACGCAAATAATTTAAAATAAATAAATATAAAATAAAATCAAAATTTGTAAATAAATACAATAGAAAATTATGTGAACAATTTTTCGTGGCAAACAACTAATTTAATATCCCACTGCTTTCTACATTCAAATTTTCAAATTAATAATAAATCATTGCTTTTTGAAATATTTGTTTTAAATTTTGAATTTCATTTGATTTTGAATTTTGAATTTTAAACTTTGTAGTGGTGGGAAAACATTTGGACAATTATTGGTGGCAGACAACTCATTTATTATCTCATTACTTTCTATATCGGTAATTGTTAACCATATCAATGCTCCATAAAAAAACTATTTTGTTAAAAATAATCATTTAAAAAACAAAATATTTTGTAAAAAAACGCAAATATTTTAAATTAAATAAATATAAAATGAAATCGAAATTTGTAAATAAATAATAATAACTCATTTAATATCTTACTGCTTTCTACATTGGAATTTTCATATTAATAATAACTCATTGCTTTCTGAAATATTTATTTTAAATTTTGAATTTCATTTGAATTTGAATTTTGAATTTTAAAATTTGTAGTGGTGGGAAAATATTTGGAGAATTATTGGTGGCAGACAGCTCATTTATTATCTCATTACTTTCTTTATGGGTAATTGTTAACCATATCAATGCTGCATATAAAACAAACTATTTTGTTAAAAAATAATCATTAAAAAAACCAAAATATTTTGTAAAATAACACAAATATTTTAAATTAAATAAATATAAAAAAAAATCAAAATTTGTAAATAAATAAAATAGAAAATTATGTGAACAATTTTTTGTGGCAGACAATTCATTTAATATCCCACTGCTTTCTACATTAGAATTTTCAAATTAATAATAACTCATTGTTTTCTGAAATATTTATTTTCAATTTCGAATTTCATTTAAATTTAAATTTAAATTTTGAATTTGAATTTTGAATTTTGAATTTTAAACTTTGTATTGGTGGGAAGACATTTGGACAATAATTTTGGTGGCACAGAGCTCACTTAATGTCCCACTACTTTTTTTTTGTTGTATATTATGAGTAAAAAAGACCTTTACTTTTCTTTTGTTGTATATTCCACTATTTTTTGCATGGATAATTGTTAGCCCTATCAATGCTGCATAAAAAAAACAAAAAATTTAAAAAAATATTGCAAAATAACAAAATTATTTAAGATGAACATTTTAAATATACATGTATAACCAATTTTAAAAAACGTATAAAAATCATAAATTAAAAGAGAAAAAGTCATATAAATATGTATAATTAATACAAAAGAATTTAAATTTTAAATTTAAATAAAATTAAAATGACCTCTATCATTCTGTAAAAAATAGATTATAAAAATTTAATCACTATAAAAATAAATTTTTTAATTTAGTATGTGAGAAAGAAATTAAACTTTCAATTTTTTATTGAAAGAGTATAATTAACACGGAAAAAATATGTCATGAATGAATAACTAAAAGCTATTATTTGGAGAAAGTACACAACCTTTTATGGATATTTTTCACTACTTTTTATATGAAAAATTATTATGTCTATTAATAATACTTACTATTGGGTGAGAAAATATGTACTATTTAAAATTTAAACTTTTCAATTTGAATTTTGAACTTGATAGATGGGAAAAGAGTTCAGCATTTAATATTTCTGTCGTGGGAAAAAGATATATATAATAAATTCGAATTTAATATAAAATTATAGATTAAACAAAAAATGTATTAGAAATTATAAAAATATATTTATAGTTGATAAAAAACAATCTAAATTTTAAATTTAAACTTCATAGGTGGGGGAAAAAATTTAAAATTGAAAGTCAAACAGCTATATTAATATATCACTGCTTTTTGCATAGGTGATTGTTAAGCCTATTAATAATACCACAACTTTCGGCATCGTAAATTGTTAAGCCTATTAATAATTGATGTTTTTTAATTGCAGAGTTTTGCTTGTGGTAGATACTTACAAAATTCTATAGCTTTTTCACCTCCCTAAATAGCACAAAATATTAACACGATTCTTTCTTTTAGCAATTAAGCGACGACAGATGCCGACAAATTTTTTGATCTTTTTCCTCCGTGCATCGCACGGGTACTGCTCTAGTTATATTATATTCATCAGCCAGCATATATATTTAGTATATCTCTCAAAACGGCCAATGTTTTGGACACTGCTTTCAATTTAATGCCATTTCCAACAAATGTTTGACCCATTAGAAAGCATTTTCCAACAAATGTTTGACCCATTCGAAAGCATTTTCCTTGCTCTAGTCAACAACGACTATGTCCTCTCAATCCTCATTCCTAGTACATTATTATATCCCTCACCCTCACCCCTATATATCACCTTTCAATCTTCATACATTATCACCTCTCTAACTCTCTCTCTCTCTCTCTCTCTCTTAATATCAATTTAGGTAGCTCACTTTTTTTGTTGTGTGCAAATGGCAGGGTGTGGCCATATATCTGACAGGTTCCTCGGCTTTATGTTTTTCATGATACCATTGTTGCTTCTTAGCTTATCATTCTCACTTCACGCAGTAGCAACTGAATTTCAAGTTGGTGGGGAGGATGGTTGGGTGGTGAAACCATCAGAAGAATATAATCATTGGGCTCGAAGACAAATGTTTCATGTCAATGACATTCTATGTGAGTTCAATATTTTTTTTTTGTATGTTATTATTTTTAATTTTTTTTTGTATATTCTGTGAGTTCAATATTAACTCAACATAAAATATATGTATTAACTTTATTTTTACAAAGAAACAATGGTACTAAAGGGTTAATATATATAATATATTTTCATTCTATTTTGCATTAATGCAGATTTTGAATATAAGAAAGGGAATGATTCAGTTTTGGTTGTGAAGGAGGAGGACTACTATTCGTGTAACATTACTAACCCCATTCATAAGATAGACGACGGAAATTCAACTTTCCGTTTACATAAACCGAGTATCTTTTTCTTCATTAGTGGCAACGTTAGCAACTGCGAAAATGGTCAAAAGCTAATCATTGCTGTCATGTCCGCTTCTCCGGCGCCATCTCCATCCAAAGTTTCGGACTCAGCAAGGCTACTTCAAGGTTAAGTTGGTGTGTGTTTGGGGTTGAAGTTTTGAAGTTTTTATTGTTAATTATAACAATTTAAAATATTATTATATGCTACATTATATATATATAAGGAAAAAATATTTCTCATGTGACATAAGAAAATATTATTATATGCTTGGAGATTTGTTAAAAAAGTAAAGGATATTTTAATAATTTAACCTTCTCTTTGTATCGTGTAATTTTATTAAAATACCCTTTATTTTTTATCCCAACTTTCAAAATGTTGATATTTTGGGATTTAATGAGATAAAATTATCTTACATTACAGGAGAAGCATTTATCCCAATATATAAATATTATATATATATATATATATATATATATATATATATTAATATTAGGGTTTATCGTTTTTCCATCAATATAAAATAAAATTATTTTTATTAAACCCAAAACTACATCATTTTGGAGTTGAGAGAATTAATAAAAGGTATTTTAAGAACTTTGATTTTTTTCTTGTTATATGAATTTTACCGAAACATCTTTCATTAATTTTTTTAATTCCCAAAATAATGTAATTTTGTGATTGATGGAGATAACTTTATCCAAACCCTTAATACTATTAATATTAGATATATAAAAAAAACAAACTTGGATATATTCAAGGTGTCAGCTCATATTATCTATTAATATTTAATTTTAATATAATAAATTTAGTATAAAATTAATAAAATAATGTTATAAAACGTGAATCCATTTTTTTTAAAAAGAAAATAAAGAAAAAAAATCCGTATGTCGGCATACGTTTTACTATTTTTCTGATAGTATTGCGTTTTTTATATTTTGGTTAGATAAAAAAGTTGTTGTATGTAAGTCACGTTTTAGAAATAATACTAGAATATACTTTGATACCGTTAATATTTGTATTAATATCATATTAAACTTGAATTTAAAATATTCAGTAAAAAAATTATATTAAAAAATTGCCTTAACATCACTAGTTTTAATAAAATTGAATATAGAATTCAATGTTAATAAAAATAATATAACCGTGATGTCATTAATAAATTTAAGTTTATTATATTATTATATTCAATTTCAATAATATTTATTTTAAAAAGTATTATGGTATAAACGCTTGTGACCTTTCCCTCTATGCCCTGCAGTAATTATTCTTCTGGCATTACAAGTTTTATTTTTAGTGTATAAATAACAAACGCAAAGTGAAAAATGATATATTATAATTTTACTTCTTAGTCTGCTTATTAAAAACAAAATACACGGGTGTTAGAGAGTTAGTTTTTTATTTTATTTTTGGATTAAAATGTGAGTTTTTATAAATTTTTAATAGCGTATCTTTGTTGATGTCTAGATCAAACAAAAAGTTTTTGGAGTCGTATACTGGGTAATTAATTTAAAATCTATGCAAAATTTCCAAAAAATAAAGCAAGGAATCATGAGTATAAAAGTTGTGAACTTTGTTCTCATTGCAGGTCCGTCAACAAGTTTTCTAGGTTCTGTCCTTCCTTCGGGGTACGTCTGTACATCGTCATGCATAAATTTGGACGTTTGTAACCAAAATTGCAATAAGGAAGGGTATCAGCCAGGGAAGGCCATGTGTTTTGGACCTCCTACAGGTGATAATAAGGTTTGTTGTTGTAAGTATTGAGATATAATGTATCCTTTTTAAGTGTATGAAACTAAAATAATACATATAAGTAAACTATGTTTTGGTCATGATTAGAGTCAATATGAGTTTATCTAATATACTTGAACTGGCCGGATTCTCAGTCTATGCAATTTGAAATCAAAGTCATCCCCGTGCTTAAGTTTCAAAATATAAAAGTAGAAATGCAAAGAATTAACCTAATGTCGAAAGAAAATTGCGTATGCACTTGTATTAACATAAATTAAACTATTATTGGTTTGTTTAAAGTTAAGTTTACAAAAAATTGCCGTGTCAATATTACATAGCTAAAATAGTTTAAATGTCACAAATACATTATTAATATGACTTATACGTAAGAAAATTTATAAGTGTGCTTGGACTTGCTTGGCAGTTGTCGTGGTTGAGTAATGTTGAAGTGTATGCATGATTGAGTACTAAACAAAACCAATAGGACTAAGAGCACCCACAATTCTCAATAATATCTCTATTGAATAAAAAATAACTAAATAAACTAAGGTTCACAAGTCCCTTTACTATAGTAAGGACTTCATTAACTATTTCTCATCATGATCATAAAAGTATCTTCATAAAACATTAAAATATAGACTATTGACCTGGCAAAACAGGTATCCCGCCTCGTCCCACCCCACCGCTAATCCACCTAAAAATAAATCAACCCGCTTTGTTCTGCTTTTGAAAATGGGTTGTAAAACTGAACTCACCTCTCCCTACCAACCCACCTATGTATTAAAATAATGAATGTTTTGAGATTTTGTTCAATTTTCTTTGTTTAAATTCTCATTACGAATTCTGCAGAATTATAGGTATTAAGGTTTGTATTCATGATTCGGTTTTGATATAAAAAATAATAATCCATTGTAAATAAGTATTTATCTTACTAAATATATATTTTTCTCTCTTTATCTTTTTCTTTAATGTTATCTTAAAAAAAAAAAAGGGTTATACGGCCCAACTCGCCCAGCGTTGGGTTCAACTCACTTTGACTCGCACTTATACGGGGCAGTTTTAAATGAGTTGGCGAGTTGCAAGTCCTAATCCAACTTGCCACACAAGATGGTACGAGCCGACTCGACGGGCCAGACCTCATTTGCTAGATCCATAGGCCAACAACCTTTTTCGTGCCTTGATTTACACTTGATTAAGCTTACAACATGATTTCCACACAACCATCACAAAAATTCTTGTACATTATCTTACTCGAGTAAATACTCCAGTAGGATCTGTTACTCCAATAAATGCATGGCATTTACTTGTGTAACTTACAGGAAAACAACATAACAACAACTTACTTTCTTTCCAACCAACAATAGACCATATCCCAATTGATACTATTATTTCAACATATGAAACATACAAATACATCTCAAAAGACCAAATCCTAGTGCAGCAAAATCATTTTCCCATTTACCATTAGTATAGAACATACATGCTTGTGATCAAATAAACAAATTTCATAAAAACCAATATTATTTTTGTTGGAGGTTATGGGTTTGAGAGAAAAGGGTATAGAGTTGCTTGAAGTATTACACCATCGTCATTATAATATCATGTCCGTAAACATCGACTCAGTTTCGTAAATTATGAACAAGACCTAAAAAGTTTGATTTAAAAAGAGCCATCAACTTAAGTTTATTTGTAAGAGAATAACCATTGTCTAGTTTCAAAGAACATGATGAATATTCAAGTCAATTACAATAATATAGTCGTGTAATGTCAAGTTTCAATTAAGAACAATACCAACATGCTTCATATGCAAACAATTATTTATGTGTTTCAATTTGAAATGTCACATTACAAATTCCTTAAAGACAAATAATCTAGCATCAAGTTTGGAATGAGATCATTTAACCAAAAGGATTATCCAACCTAGTTACATTGCATCATCAAGTTTGAAATGACACAAGTTTCCCAAGCAGAACCTTTGATTTATGTTCAAGTCATCTTCATTAAGTTTGGAATGATATAACTAATCTTTTTCAAATTAGTCAACAATTGTAAGCATCGATGAAACATATAAACTGTACTTATCATTTTGGCTAACAAAAAGAATATTCGATAATTCAAAAGACAAACAATTAGAAGGTGAGTAAATGATAATTGAGACTTGTCGCATAGTCTTTAACCTTTTTTCCTCCACTGTTTTAAATAATCAATCTTTATGTATATCTTTTGTGAGAGCATCAACCAAGTTATCCTTCAAATTCACACCGATTAAGGTGATAACTCCTTGTTCTCTTAGATAATTCAGCAATGCATGTCTCATTTTCACATATCTTCTCTTTGACTTAATGAGAGCATTTCAAATGATTTAGAGAGTTGCTTGATTATTACGAAATAGACTTAGAGAATTAATCTTTAGTTTAGTCAAAGGAATATCCATAATCAAATTCTTTATCCATTCAGCCTCTTCGCTAGCTGAGGCTAAATCAAAAAGTTCTGATTACATAAACGACAATGCAATATAAATCAATCTTTTGGATTTTCAAATAATAACAACTCCTTCCAAAGTGAATACATGCCTATTGGTGGATAACCAGAATAATATAGAGCATAATCTTTAGTATATTTAAGGTTACTTACCAGCCTATTGAGGACATCACAATGCTCTTTACTAGGATTACTAGTATACATGAGTTTACTAATCAATTTTGAGTACTTTAACTGATCCACAGATGTTCCTTCATAAGGACTCAATCTTTTGTTATAATCACATAGTGTCTTACTCAGTTTACACTTGTAACACCTCGTGTGCACCCGGTGTATTAAACATACATATGGTAATAGCGCAGCTCAATAAATACGGAAGCTAAATTTTTCCAATTATGAACATTACCAATTTAACCAAGTGGATTTACTTAATTCTTTTTCAAAGCCGTCGGTATGTAAATTGCAATAAATAACTACACTGAATAATCTCATATCATAAACAATGTATCAAGTCACGGAACTACAACACGTAGACCAGACATGTTCAGATACAAATAATACAACTCAAGTCTTAATACGCATAACTTATACCAATGTGACATGGACAATCCCCATGCTCACCAAATAAACAACAAAATCATCATGTCCCAAATACAATAGTCATATAATAACAGGGCATATTATATCCTAACATAAGAGTCAAAGCATGCAACATATCATCAGCTCAACTTCGGCCTCCTGCTGCCAGAGGTGTCAACCTCAGGAACACCTGTACCTGAAAATGTACCCCACACGAGGTGAGATTTCTAACAAGAAATCTCAGTAAGACAAGGGGTCCTCAAGGACTCTTTCGCCCCAAGCTCACTTACAAGTATATAATAAGTTCAAAAAGCTAAGTACAATGCATGATCATGTTGAAGC